GTGATTAACAAGAAATCATCTATACATATTATGCAAATATCTCAATTTTAATTATTTATCATTGTGACTGAAATGAAAATTGTATTTATTCCTTTTCCTTCTAATTTATAATTATAATTGTGTAAATATTATATCGCAGTGCACTAGGGTTTCATACATTTGTAATTTTAATATCTTAATTACAATGATAAATAAAGTCGTCAACTATGCATCTGTCGAACTCTTAAGACGAAACTAAGAGTGGAAATTGATATGCATGTATAATGCATAACTAATTCTTTTATTTATACTGATGCATATATGACAAATTTGCTTCCTGGACAGTTACCCGAAGGCACATAACTATTAATGCACCTTTGACTAATACAGGTAAAGCAGGTAAAGAGAAATGGGAATAGCTTATCATTGAGGAAGGGAAGATGCATTATTGCTTTGATTATCAGTATTTTAATAATTCTTGTCGCGAATTATAATTTCGCGAAAACTTCTAACTAATTTCATAGTATCATAAATCATCTCTCCTTTTTAAATTGTAAACAATCCTACGGTATTCACACATGTAATTTTAATCTCCTTTTTGTAAGGACATCCAATTCTTCACACATATGATTTTTATGTAAAATTGAAATTAGCTTTCATTTTAATCTTTTCTTTGTAAAAACCTCGAATTCTTCACACAATTGCTCCGATAACACGCCCAATCCTCACTCATATAAATTCAATTCTAATAAACAAAACCATTAATTAACATTGTTGTCGACTACTCTCTGTTAACCAATATCAATTGCTCCGATCTTCTTCTTTAATATAAATTTCTTCTTTCTTCTTTTACTGTTCTGTTTATTAATACTACGTTTGCGAAAAATAAAAGCTTATTAATCCTTCTACTGTATTGCAAACAATTCGAATATCAACCAACAGACAACCTTTCACGACAAAAAATTTTTGGTGCCACGAGCAGGGAACATGTCAAGCCACATTATCGCGAGCTTTCAACCGGCAAAGGAAAGGTTAGTCAGTCTTCTTAAAGAAGTAAATCAACTGGAGATCAAATTTCCAGATCCAAATATGACAATAGAAGAAAAAGAAGATTTTTATGTGATAAGAAAAAGAGTGTTAGAAGATAAACTTCGAAGAATCCAATTATGCGTAACTACGCTTGAATCTATCAACGATAAATGGTTCACATATACTCAACAAATCGTCACGATGAAAAGAAGAGAAAAAGAGGAAGAAAAATACAAAACAGTAACAGAAGGTGACCAAGGAATATTTCAATTATTACACGAAGGAAAGGAAGCGGTAATAACACTGACAATGCACAAAGATGAAGTCGACCAAAACTTAAAACAACTCTCAAAGGAGTTGACGAACAAACAAACAAAAGAAGAAGCAAAATTTACTCCTTCTTCAAATATTAATGTAAATCTTCCTCATTTATCGCTCCCTACTTTCGATGGAGACTCTAGACAATGGCGACAATTTTGGAGCAGTTTTAACGCAGCAGTCCACACACAAGCGATTCCAGAAATATAAAAATTGAATTACTTGTACTCATGTCTTAAAGGAAAGGCTCTACAAGCAATATCTGGATATGATATAGCTCCAGAGAATTATGAAGTCATCAGAAAACTGCTCAATGAAAAATATGGCGATCACTCAATAGTAACAACATTACTATACAACGAACTCCAATCAATTAAACGAAATGAAAGAGAATGGATTGGAACAATTGAAAATATAGAACGAGTACTGCGCCAGTTAGAAGCTCTAGGAGAAAGCCTTGAGCATTCAAATATTGAAACTAAGAAACTTTTTAACAAGTTTAGTTAATGTGAATGAACAGATTAGAAACTGTCAACATTCACTCACTCAACTCAATATTAAGTCTACAACTACCAAACAGGAACAAAAACAACGATACAATCCCGGAGGAACTTCAGCACTGTCAACAATAAAGGATAATCAAAATACTTCAAAAACTACAACAACAAAAAGACGACCATGTGTATTCTGCAATCAAGATCATTGGGACAGCGATTGCGTGAACTACACGACTCTCAATGCTCGACTTAATCGTCTCAAAGTATTGAAGAAATGTACTATTTGTCTTAGAGACAGTCACAAAGGACAGAATTGTAATGTCAAAAAACAATGTTTTTATTGCAAAAGCTCACATAATAGTGCTTTATGTAATAAAAGGAATTCACTTTCTTTAAACAATACAATGTCTCAAAGAAATGAAGAGCAAGAAAGAATTGAACCTTCGAAACGAAAGGATTGTTCAACTTCCCTCTACAACTCGACATTAACAACTCGATCCAAACAGACAAAGGAAACTTTACTTTTATGTAAGGAGATAAAGGTTTTTAATCCATCACAATCTCAACTACAACAAAATGCCCTTGCATTATTTGATATTGGATCGCAACTCTCCTTCATCTCCAAAAAATTATCACGTCAATTGAAGTTAACCGAAACAGAAACTCAAATTATGAGAATAGCTCCATTTGGTATGAAAGAACCGAAATCATGTCCCACTGCTCGCATACAACTAAATGTGCTAACTACCGAAAGCGAAATCATACAACTACAAGCAAATATAATTGATTATCTAACGAACGAACTGCAAATGAATTTCAAATTCAAAATTTAACAAATTATTGGAAAAAACCTGATGTATTGATTGGAGCTGACTATTTTTTCAAATTTATTAGTCTACGAGAAATCAAGGAATTGAAATCTAATTTGTTTTAAACCAAATAAAGTTTTTTTTTTCAATCTGTTTTATGGTGCAAATTATAAATGCCATTAAATTCGCTTCTTTTAAAACTGTACAACCTATTTACGACAAAGTTTATAATTGATTAAAGCAGTTGTTCGTTCATTTTGTTAAGAAACCAACAAATGTGAAAATTCACAATTCACTTAATTTATTATGAATTTCCCTAAAATATATTTCCCGAAAATAAATATAACGAAAAAAGGAGGAAAAAGAGATTAAATATGATTAAAATTTAAAAGCGAAATTAATATGCAAATGAGCAAGACATTTTTCTTAAAAAAATTGTTATAACAGGAAAGATTTATGAATTGATTGATTAACTGGAATATACTAATAATATCGTTATTTACACAAACTATTTAATGTAAATCAATACCCCTGAATCATGCAAATTTCTATTATTTATACTACTATTCAAACTTACATTAAATTATTTAATTGACTAACAATCAAGGATAAAATAAGTGAAGATTTTGTATTTGCTTAATTGGTGGAACAAATGAGAGAAACTTTAAATTAAGGTGTTAAAATTAAGACAATCAATATATACCTTCAAGCTTATTTCGTCCTGTCAGATTACCTATGCTATTATACCCATCGTTGGATCATTTCAGGCTCATTTTACCATTATTCGACTAATCTGCAATTACTGAATACTCTTCCTTATGCAATGTGTGTTAGGCCTAAATTTAACTTAGCAAATGCTTCATTCATTTATCTAATGTACTTTCGCTATAAATAATATTCGACTAGCATTTTTAGTGCATCATAACACTGACGAATGACTGTCACCACTGAATGGTAGGATGATATATGTAATTCAGAAGGAATTTTTGGAATAAGAACCATACCAATCCCAATACTGACTATATAATTTTCTGCTTGAAACTTTGATACAATTTCTACCGCAGAAAGTTGCAAGAAAATCATTCCTGACTGATCACATTTTTAATTTACACCCGCAGATGCCCTAAATAAAAGAAGACAATGCTACTTAAAATTGGATAAATGACCGTCATTATATTATATGATGGTACAAAAAGTCGAACCATAATCTGATATGAAAAACTGAAAAGCTTCATGCTCCATTTATTAGTTTTTCATAACAACCAATTACTAATTTACCACACAGCTGCAATAATAACTGCAATACTTGATGTACCAGAATGAAACGATGCTCGAAAAGACGAATAAACAGTTATTCTATCATTATAAATGATTTAAAAACTTCATTCCTGACTTATTCCGATTTATGGAAGAATCATGTTGTTAAAATGAAAATATCTCTATGATGCAACAAAATGCACTTCCATAATTCTTGTAGTTTTATCAATAACACCTTGCTAATGCGCATTATGAAACGCTCAATACTCCACTGTCAGAGCTTGAATTTACAATTGCCTGCCTTCTTAGGAAAGTATCGTGTAAAACATTCCAAAAAAACGCTTTAATTTCAATACATATTTCTATATGGTATTAAAAATATCGGATGATTTTAATGGTATTCCCTGATTGAATTCATAAAAACCACTTAATGGGAACCATTACTTTTTTCTTCCTAAAACAGCTGCGGCATCTATTACTTCCACATTTCGTTATAAAAATTTATAACATTCCTCTTTTGATTATTTATTGAATTTTATTTACTATTTAAAACATATAATAACATGTTCAAATCTATTTTTAATCGTTTTGTTTCTCCAAAATACCATTTTACTTCCTCATTCTAGTCTTTTATCACAAATAGTCAAATTTGGGTCTAGAAACACTGAAAATATCCAGAAACAACGAAAAATCTGAATAATCTTTTTTTTTTTTTTTTTTTTTTTTTTTTACTAATTCATGTGACCAGGAAATTAGTCTAAGGTGCGTAAGCATCTCTAACAGATCAGTTTTTAACTAATTTCGTCACATGAATTAACAAAATAAATAATTCAAACGATACATCCTTTCTTAAACTGGAAAATATGAGGAATGAAAGTCCTCAACAGACTACAGAGTTGAAGTTGTAAAACTTAAATAAGAAAATCAGATGGATAAAGGCAATCAGAAGGCCAAACTTTGGTTATTTGTTCGAAGAGAAATTTGAAATAATTGTAGAAGTGTTATTCCGTAAAAAGCGAAGCATTCTTAACAAATATTAGGAAAAATGTGTCAAATATATGCCAAAATAATGCGAAGCCATAACAAATATATATATATAATCATTCCAAATTTAAGTAGAAACTGATTTCTCGTCCGCTGGTCGCTTTAGACCTCGAATCGTAAGATCATACACAACTTGTTCAGCTCTCTGAACATCGTATTTTAACGCATCGTATCTTCGACGCAGTCCATCATTTTTTAAATTTAGCAGTCGAAATTTTGCATCCAGATCATATAGAAAATCAGCAATCTGAAAATATACAACATGAAGTTTCAAGTCTTTCATATAGAAAACACTAATCTGAAAATGAAAATTCTAACTTTGAAAGCTGATGACTTCGAAGTTTCGTTCGAAAATAATAGCACAAAAACAATTATCTTCCCTTTTACACCACGCTATAAAAATATTCAAATTGAATTTTCGAATATTTCTTCATAACCAAATTAACCAAATTAATGCTCTTACGAGATGAGATGTGTCACATATCATAAGTGCATACATTATTAATTAAGTAATGTATGCACATTACTTAATTAAAAATAAAAATAAAAATCCAAGGAAAAATGAACCTTAAAAGGCAATACGCTATTACCGACAACGACAGCATTAATGGAAAACCGTGACAGTTCATTAGCAAGTTGCAATACACCAAATAAATAATCTTCGACGTCCAGATGAAAACCAGCTGCCGGGTCAACTTTAACTAAAGACAAATTCGTTTCAATCATAACCGCATAATTGAAGATCACAATCAAACACAAACACTGACACTTTCTTCGAGAAAAATTATACTCATTTTCCATTTTTTTTTAAAAAACGGCATACTATTTAAAATTTCAGCAACTCTGTCACGACTCAGCAAAATTCCATGTTTAAGAAAATGAACATAAGTCACAACGAAGCATAATTTCTGAATAACAAAACGGAAATTATCGTAAAATCTGAAAAAATAAAAGGTAATTAGATAGAAACTCTCTCTCTTCCTCATTCAAATTAAATAAAATAGTGGACAGAAATTTATCTAGTAAAAATAGTTTGTTGCGTTAGATAACCAATTAGTAAATCTGCAACTAATAAGAATGAGACTTTGCTCTTGTTATGCACTCTCATGTCCTAGGAATAACGATATAAAGTGGTTATATAATTATCATCAAGATTTTTCGAAGACTGCCGTCAAAATGATATTACTTATTCAGTAGCAAAAATAATATTAATGATCGACTTTATCTTCTCAACTTTAGAATTCCTTTTAATGTACATTATTTGGATATTGCTAATATTGTAAAAACTTTGATGAAGATAATCCTAGCTTAAAATATTTACAGACGTACCGATAATATGATACGGGAGATATTAAAGCAGCTAGCTTTGCCAAATATTTTTGCACTTCATTATCTAGAATATTTTGCACCTTCTTTAAATCTATATCTGCAAATAAACATAGTACAAAAATTAGTATCAACTTCAAATTAATGTTTTAAGAGTAAGTTAACTATATCCAAATAACTCGGTAATCCAGCAAGAATGGTCAGTAAATATCAACGGATAATCACGTCAATCAACGATATAACATACCATATCCATCCTTGAATGCATGAGTTTTCTGTAATATAGCAATGATTCTCGATACCCAATATTCCATTCCATGTGCTACATCCGCTATATTCTTCAAATATTTAAGAAAAATTTTAATGGTTTTTTTTCCTCTTCGTAAACAGCGAAAACAACAAAAAAAGTAACCTTACCCCACCCTTAGAGATTGTAAACAGGTATAATCATGGGTATCTATGTTATCCATCAGTTAGACTTATCAACCTGGATCATAATGTTCCATGCAGAAATTTCATGCTAGCAAAAACAAAAAAAGCAATGGGAATTACATCTTTCAGGATACGATCTTTTTCAACTAATTCCCTGAATGCTTCAAACATAACATCAACCGGATTGGTTGCACTCGACGGTAACACCGTATCTTCCATTTCTAAATTGGTTAATTAAAAGCTAAAACAGTAAATAATTGGCGCTATAAAAAATATACGAAACAGAATATATATCATATGAAAAGTATGTTGAGCATAAATTAACTAGGAGATAGCATTAGCCTTAATTACCCCGGTTTACAGCTAAACTAAAGAACAAAGAAAGATGTTAAGAACAGAGCGATTCAAACAAACCAACCTTTTCTCAAATGTAATAATCTCATATAAAAAACTAACTGCAACGAGAAAGTTAAACATAAAACTAAAACATTAACAACAACAATTATTTAAACCACAAATTTGACAACGCAAATCATTCAACCTCTGACCACTCTCATCCTCACGCAGAACTATTTCTATCACTCTCCTACTGAATAAGCTTCACTCCCCATATTACATCCTATATCGCAAATTTAGCAATTCCTGTTGTATCATTAAGAAAAGAATATTTTCTGTTATTTAACTCTTCCCCACACATATTTCTTTTTTACTATGCATCTTCCTATCTCCTCATTTCTAATACTATTAATCTCACCAATTGCGTTATATTTTAATGCCAGCATAGCTGCGTACCAAAGTAACGCAGTACCCAAGACGATTTCGACATGAAAACTTAAATCCCATGTCAGGAGGTTATATAAACTGAGTCGAGGTTTGATTTTCCGTTTGACTAGTGGTTCCCTATTCCTTGATGTTCCGATTATTTCTCCGGTTGTTCTGCATTCCTACGGTGATAAATGAGCAGGAACAGACAGATTGTTGAGAATCTTTAGCTTGAAAATGGATATTGCTCTTGTCAGCTAATATGAAAATGTTTTGTAATAGACAATCCGCTTAACATAACTGGACAATTAACATTTCCCACAAAATCAACGTAAACCATGTATCAGTCCTGAAATTTCAAAACTTTTTTTAATTAATGGTACTGCATGGTCGAGTAACATGACAGTGTAATGATAACTTGCCACTAGTGATATCAGTTTTATTATCATTAATAATGAAAGTATCGACATAAACTACTATTCCGGTCAATTTCTCTTTCTCTTCAATTTTGACGCTGCCATCAAAAAAAAAAAAAAAATATTAAACATTATGCATGGAAGAAAATAATTCGATGAAAATGGAAAAATTCATTCTGAATATTCACTTAAAAAATTATTTTCATTTTTCTTTTCACTCTCTCAAATGTAGAATTTCTGATCGAAAAGAAGCAGTTGATATTAGATTGCTATTGGATTAAAAATGTTGAGGAATAATAAGCTTTATCATTCCATTGATTTCATTTTGCATGATATTGAAGGCATTCTTCGTGTATTCAGTGTATTCAAAATAAGCAGTAAATTGAAAATTTGATGCTCTCTTCTATTCTAATAAGCCTTACATATTAGGAATTAATTGGAAGTGCTGCGGAATAATGATCTAAAAAAAGAAAGAAAGTAAAATTGTCATCCTTATATTTTTTTCCGCTTGTCTCCATACCCTTTCTCGATTTATTTCTTATAAATTTATCTATTTTAGATATTTATTTTGGATTCAATTCTAAATTCGAATATTAATTTCTACTTCATATACGGTGATATCTCGCTATTGGTATTCCATGACTTACTGTACAAAGTTTGATCTCATAAATTACTACTCTACTGTCTCACAATATGCATTTCTAGAATTTATACAATAAAGTTCTTAACGAATATGAAAACCTCGATTGAATTAAATGGAAAATTTAAGCAAATGTATCTCATATAATATTAATTTCTTCATTTCTTTTTCAATGTTCATCAATTTCCACTGAATCTGAACTAATATCGATCGATCGATTAATACATTTACTCAATGAAATTTATTTCATATTATAATAACTATATTTATATTGTCACTCATTCGAGCATTTCTCATAATGAACTCATCGTTCGTTCCATTGAACCGCATTAAATTTCCCTTTTGCGCCCAATCACTTCTTTATACTTCCTTCCCTCCAAATCATTAGCTCTGACAAATATTACACTTCCCGAGAATTAGTTTCTGTTCTATCCTATAGTGCTCATATTTATTTCTATTCCAATTCTATTCCATTTCATCTGATTCTCTCTTTCGCTTCCTCCCAATTAGAAAAAAAAGAAAGAGAAGAAAAGATAAGGTAAAATTGAGTAATAAGAGAGGATAAAAGTGAAAATTTTTCTTTAACAAATAAAATTTGCATTAATAAAGGTAAATAAAAAAGAAAAGGAGAGGGAGAAAAAAAGAGAGAGAAAAGAAAGGAAGAAACAAAAAGTTATCATGAGAATTTTAATATTCGCTTCTATTTCTTTTTTTGCCCAAAGGCGGAAGAAAAATTCTTTCGCGTCAGTTAGATTTATGCAAATAAAAATGTTAGTAATGATTAGCTTAAGCAAAAATTTGTCGATATGATTATTTCCCAATTTCCGAAGTTTGAAATTAATTTAATTCTGTTTTTACACTTCAGAAAATTTGAAATTTAAAGTTGAAAAATATTACTTTTTTTTTCATTATCAATCTTTTTATATTTAGTCACGCTAAAGAATCGAAAAAGAATTTTTGAAGTAGAAATATTTAGAAATTCTTTTTTTATCCATTTAATGAAATGATCAGTGTTATCGCATAATTATAATATTATTTCTTGATCCATTCAGTTACGCAATTCAAATAGTTCTTTCTTGTATTATAAAAATATAATTTTAAACAAAAAAAGTTGAAAATGAATTTTAGAGGAAAAAAGAAAATCAATTTATAAAGCGCAGCAAAATAGGGCAATTTTTCTCGTCTTACTTTTCTCAAAAAGAAAACAACGATAGTGAAAGTATAAATCAAATTTTCACATTTGTTTCATCAAAAATTTCAAACCCTAACTTTATGCTTCATTCTGTCCTTCTCATTGTCTCTTAAAATAGGAATAATTCTAGTCCAGTTGGTTCATTACTTAGTACAAATAAACTATTTTGCAATTCTCCTTGTCCTTCCTATCTGCCAATATCATATTCATTTCTTCCCTTTCATCATTATTTTGTTTTTGTAAAATTCAAAATATGCAATGGAACAATTTTCACTATCATAATGATATGCTAATAAAAGCAATGAATCAGCTTCATGGCTTACTTATCTTTAACGCCTTAATTAAATAAACAAAACAACTAATATTTAAAATATTTCTCTGAATCGAAATTATAAAAAAAGTTGTGTTAAAAATTTCACGACAAATAATCTTTTTCTATCTAGTCATATCATTAAGCAGAAGCATTATCAAATTATTCCAATATGACATTTGCAATTCACAAGAAATGCCAAGGACATAACGAATATCCTTCTTCATAATCATTCATTGTTATCGATGATTTTTTCATCTTGCCATCATTATTTTATTATTTGTAAAGGTTTTGTGGTGTATGCCATAAAACCTTTACAAATAACCTTGAATAAGTTTTCATCGTTCCTATGGTTACATTTGAACAATTGCATATTATGAGATAATTTGATACTTTTTTTTATTGGTATTATTATTTATATTTGTAACTATAATTGCAATTATAATTTCATAATCGTGATAATAATAATAGCAATAATAATCATAATAACAATTATTAATATTATTATTATTACTAATAACAATTCGGAAATTCTTTAATTTATAACTCTCAGTTAATTCATTTTTACAATACCTTTGCTTATAGAATGTTCGAAAATAAGCGTCAATATTTCTAATTAATATTTATAAATTTGTATTGGTAATTAGCTCCATTAAACATATCAATAACATGTGAGCATATAATATCAAGATTTTTTGCCTAATTGAATAAAATCTAAACAAATGCTATATTGCCATTTGTATACGAGCTAAATTAGCTTCACTGATCAATAATCACAAGGTGATCAATATCTCTCCTGTGTTTCTTCTATGCATTCAATTCTTCCCTTATCGTTTTTTTCTCAATCGCACACCAGTTTTTTTAATACATACTGCTGTGTATTCTTTTTCGCAACTATTACTGCCAATTATTCTTCCTTTTCTCAGCAACAGATTTGATGAAATTTAAAATAGCATGCATGCATTGAAATATCGAATTTTCGCGTAACTGAATAAAGAAACCTTAAGACTATCAATAATTCGACACTATTATTCGCATACACATAGGATCTCCCGAAAAATTCAAATTATTCATTGCATTTAGTTTATTGATCCATCCGATTGATCTTATTTCATTATTTCTTTTCTCTTCTAATGTAAATGAAAGGCAGTGCGAGAAATATCTTTCGTGTAATAAATAATTTATTTAAAGCAAATTTTTGTAGAAGAAAATCTATTTCCCACTATCACAAAATCAAGCCAATTACTTTTAAACAGTTTTAATTATTGAGGGTGAAAAGTTCAAATTTAATGAATTTTTTATGAAAGAATTCATTAAACCAAGACTTTTACGAAGATATTCAAAAGAAGAAAACGAAGAAAGGTATAAATGAAATGGAAAAAAGATGAAAAGAAATGCTGGAGGAGGTGGAAAAAAGGTTAGTTTTAGGGCGAACAATTTAGCGTCGATTATTGTAGCCGAGGCATAAAACATTCATTTTTACGAAGCCTAGCAAATGGGTGAGGCTCTTATCCACTTTTTTTTTTCCTTTTTGGCTTCTTATAATTGATAGATGTAGTGAATAGTGAGATAAGGAGGCTAGGAACAAACGATGGCAATGTATAAAGCCACTTTTTACTTTATCTTTTTCTACATCATTGCCACATTTTCGCTGTTTTGTCCTTGTCTCTCCCTTTTCCAATTCGAACGCTTAATTTTTTTACCTAAAAGAAAAAAAATTAGTTCTTTTTTGTTGACCTTTTATAATGCTTAAATATACTACCTCATTATACCTTTGTCTATTTGAATTTGTGCAATGCAAAATTTTGAAAGGAAAAAAATGTCACAATCAGCTTTAATCGATATCGTCTGAAATTTTAACTTGCTAATGTTTATAAATTATGTGTCCATATTTTTTAAATGTTGATTTTATACATTTCAACATTCGATTTTTTCATATCGATTTGCTACAATGTGAAATATCGATTGCCAGTTTATCACTAATGCACTTGACTGGAAGAATTAAATTAGATGTAATTGGGAAAGATATTATCCAGTGAATTTTTTTCTTTGTTATTAAAAAATGAAATAGTAATAGTAACTCAAATATTTCATTGAAGGCAGCAACACGCTTAATTAACGAATTGATTTAAGTGCTTTTGAAATTTAATACTGGGAGATTTCGCTAATAATAATAATAATAGTGATAATAATAATAATAATAATAATAATAATAATAATAATGGTGATAATAATAATAATAATAATAATAATAATAATTCCCATAAACTCTTTTAATTTGGCGTGTTAACAGATTACCGTGAAGAGAATGTCTTTCAGTTAAATGATAAAAGAATACATTTTAATGAAATCAGCCTTGTTAGTTGACACGTTTTTATTTACTTTGATAGAAATCTCTTTTATAAGGCCATGTCCTTATAATCGATTATCAATGTTTTACAAATATGAGTGATATGATAATGAAGTGAAATAATACCTTGACATTATCAATATCATTGCATATAGTCTTAATGATGGTACTAAACTCATTGAAAATGTCTTAAGGACTTTTAGGCATTTTCTAAATCTGAACAGATCAGTAATTATCATATAATTCCTCTTCGAATTCATTCAATTTACCGTGGTGCATTTTCTTTCCTTCCCAGCTTTTTCCAACACTCTAATAGCCATGAATTTAATTTACTTATTTTTTTCTAAAGTGGTTTTATTTGTCTGCCTCTTTCCATTTTAATTTATATAATTAATGGAAATCAATTTGTAGAACTTCTTGAATGTATGCTTGACCTTTAAGTTATACTATCTAATTTAAAATTTACATCGAATTTCAAGTCTATATTGAATAAAAATAAGGAAATATTGAGAGGAGAATGAGAACAAGTTGAAAATGAAATGAACATTTGAAATTTAATCAGTAATAAGTTTCAAACACAAAAAGAAAAAATGGCAATATTGAATCTCTTTTCTTTCTTTTGATATTGATTGAATTTGAAATACAACTATTAAAATGAGACGGCCAATTATTATGCATGCTAATAAGCATATCATCTTTCTTCTTTTCATCAAATCATATTTGCACTAGCTAACGAGTAAGATTCTCTTTTTTCATTTTCTTAAGTTTTAAATTTTAAAATGAACGCATCTCTCAATACCCGAAATTTATCTATAGCTTTCACTATCAGCACAAGTCATATCAAAAAAAAAAATCACTGAGTAGTTACCATTAAAAAGTTTCGTTCGAATAATTGATTAATTTTGATAATCACATAAAAAGCTGAGTCTAATGAATTTCTGAACAAAGATATCAATTAAAGTTCGATGAAGAATGAATGAAAGAACTTTTCTGGAATTGAGAAATTTAAATTATCAGTTCGTTACTGTAGTGTGAAATAATCAAATGATATTGATAATGCATTATTACAGTGTTATAATTATTTTTGTAATTAGCATAGCAATTGTAAATTTTATTTCCATCATTCTTCCTCCTATTTATATTATTTTTATTCACTTCTTTCAGCAACTCATTACCTCACAGAATATCATTGCATTGATACGGTAGAGTTTGATATTAATATTCCAATTTAGCTTTTCATTATTTTGAATTTCAAATCTTTCATCATAAAATTCCCAAATTTGACCGGTCGATGCTTGTTGTTCTTATTTGTCGAAATATCAGTGATAAATACATTGTATTCCATACCTATTTTAAATATTTTGCTGACTGATGCATGATTTTACAATTTAAATTTATTTTATAAAATAAATGTTATGTACCATATTCACAAATTTTTTAGAGGCAAAAAAAAAAACACAAAAGTTGAAAAGCTTAGGGTAGAACCTGTTTTTGAAGAGAAATTTGATAATAAAAGAAAGGTTCGTTTTCACTTATTAAAAATACTATGAAATAGAGTCATATTTTTATTAGTGTAAATTTTAAAGCAAGAGGAAAATAGTTAATTGTAAAGAAAATGACTTGCAAAAATTGTACTTAAAAGTTAGAAAACAATTAATTCAAAGTAGAATTTTGAAAAAAATCCACAAATGAACATATGTTAATTTTACACGATTTATTTCGAATTGTATCATCGATCATTTTTTATTTCCATATTCTTAACGATATATTTCATAAAAGCAAATCAAAATTACATCTGAAAGTAAATGGAAGGGGAAGAAAGGTAAGTTGAAAAGAAATGTAGAATACGCAATTGGATTGTTAATTGCACTGTCAGAAACAGATGTATTCCATAGCTTAAGCAATGCTTAATCTATTTTGCTAGTTAGTTAAGCTTCATAAAAAATTAAAGTTTTCAGTGATGTTTTGGATAGCAATCATTTCCAATGCTTCATGGTTATTATGATTCAAGATTTGAAGAAAATGCTGATACCATTGTTATTGTCAATAATAAGTTTTATAACATCATTGTTTGGATTAATTTTATTGGCTATTGGATATGGCTTGAATCATTCAACAATTACTTTCTTAATTCTTGGTCTTATCGGTTTGATCACTTCAATGATTATATGGACAATACGACCTAAATTATTAATGACATGGCCAAAATGTTTGAAACGATTGTTTGGTCGAGAACGACGATTCAGCAAATGCAATAATTCAGAAATATTAGATCGTGATAAAGCTGAAATGATTATGAGAAATATTCGCGGTATTCCATATCTTATTCAAGTAATTTTGTGCATTCTTTATACAAATTCACATGCATCATTTACTATTTATGATTAATAGCATGCAATGATAACGTAATGATAACATGATAACCTACAGAAAGTGATTATCATATATATAGAACTATATGAAAAGCAGAATTTTAAGTCACTTAAAAGTATTCTAATTTATTTTATATAGCATAATTTTTTTAATTTCTTTTAAATTTCAGGCTATCCAATATAGTATGGAAACAACATATTATAAAACCATGATGGCACAGAAAAATAATGGTAGCATACCAACAACTTCAGTTATACATACTGCACCCAAATGTATTAGTGTTATCGATTCGGATCATGAAGACTGCTGTTCCGGTTATTCCTTCTTATTACTTTTGCAAATTAATCAGTCTAATTATGAATTACTACTGCGATAGGTTCATATAAATTATTGATAATAATTGTTGGATAACCGACAAGAACAAACGAATATGCATATTTAATCACTCGCTTTAATATCATACCTATTTCAATTCTTGTTGGCTATACATTTGTAAATGTTTTGATTTTCTTTATCCTTTATTTGTTGTTTTGTGTTTTTTCCTTTATTTATTCATTTTTATGAATATAAATCAAAATAGATTAAATTAACGTCACATTACAAAGAATGTTGAAAATTATGATTTATGTTAAAAGTAATATTTTATTTTTACCTTCCTGTATGTTTCATTTTCCAATATTTAAAAATTGTTTTTTGTTCCATTTTTTTAATTCTCTCAAAACATTTCAAGATTGCTTCACGTGATATGATGCAATTAATAATTTATCGTTCACTAAAGAGATGAGTAGAATTATTTCGGATCAGTCATTTTTTCACTCATATAAGAGCTATATAAATGTTACCATATATAGTGAAATATTTTCCGCAATATCGATTCGATAAGTAATAAATGACTAGTCTGAATTTATAGTGAAATTTATGTAAAATAGTGTGGAGAATTGAATTTAAAATTTATTTCAAGGCTCAGAAACGTTGATATCAAAAGAGCAATCGGCAATTCAGGTAGTTGAAACAATCGAAGAATGGATCCCAACAGGATTGTCATCCTGGAATAATACCCAGCTAAGGCTTTCGATAAAAAGTAATCCTGATAGTGGAATCAATGTTCGTTTTTTCTCTTGTTTAACCTAATTTTCAATTGTAATATCATTTCGTCGCATCTCTTATAAAATTCAAAATTGATTTATTAATATTTCTTAAGGTATTGAAACATTTTTTAATCTTAGCAAGTTTTTTTAAGATTTCCCCGAAACTATGACCATAATCCTATTTGTCCAAATTCTTACTTTTTCATTTTAGGTATTTCCATATAGTGAAGTAATGCCAAGGCCAAGTGCTGATACAATGATAGAACTGATTGAAACACCAGCAGAAATTACACCGGAAACTGAGGAAAAAACCATTTTCCTGGAAAGGCTAGCTTTGAAAAATTTTGAATGGTACTATCATTTTGCAACAGTCATTTCGGAATTAAGGAAGAATTTTCTTTGTTTGAATTAAAACATTGGAGTGCGATATTTAATCTTCAAGGAATAAAGTTAAGAAAAATAATAAATTAGAATTTTTTTTCCAATAAAGTGAAGAAAAATGCTAAAATACAATTTTTTCCCAATAATGTAATCAATAAATTTACAAAACGAAACTTCCTGTCACCAAGTTACATTCATAATAAAGAAAATAGAATTGCTCATAAGTTAAATTATTTGGATGAAATCAAAAATTTTAATGTTTATTATAACATAAATCTATAAGACCAACAATTAAGAAATGTCGAATTAACCATCAAATCTTATACAATATTTTCTCATTCAAATTATTACATTTTTTTAGGCCTGATTTGAGAAAGAATTTTCAATTACGTTATATGGCAATGAGTAGTGATTTTTTGCATAAATTTAATGAAGCTTTTCGATCCTTTCCGCATTGATTGAAATTACTTTAATGATCTTTCATTGTTTATTGTTTGATAATGAAGTATCAGACCTCAATCCATATTTTACTATAATATCTTGCTCTACAGATTCTAACAGAAAAAAGTTTAACTCATTTTACTAAATATCATGCAATATGATAGCTATTAGTAAAATATCTAATTTCTTTCTATTTTATTGTATGGGGTAATTAATAAAATAAGCTTATCATTCTGAAATAGATCAATTGGATTAGTTATAAAATGAAATGCATCCAAATATTAATAGATTATCAATTTAAATGGATTTTCTGATTTATTAACTTGAATAAATAATATCATCAGTTATTTATAGTTCATTAAGTATGATTTGTTCCAAACTGAGTTCCATAGCTTTCATTCATTCCTTGCTTAGTAAATGATGAAACTTTTTTTTTAAAAAAAGGAAACTGATCAAAAGGCACAAACGTCCGGCACATATTTACAGTAATTAAACGAAAAAAAAAATAAAATAAGATGAAGGATGTTGGTATTTCCTCAACAAATTACCATTTCCTCTCTCTTTGACTCGTTTTTAATGTGTGTTGTTTTCCTTTAATGTTATCATTTTTAAAGATAAGTGATAACACAGTATATGTTGCCTTGTACAAAAACTGTAAATGTGTTCTGTTGTTGAAATGGATAGATGTTTGATGGTTGATAAATGTTATGATATTATTTAACCTTATCAACATATCAGTCAAATGAGTTAACAAAAGTTTTTTCTGTCTATCACAATAATCAGACAGCAATTAAAAATAACTACTAGCTTTAATGAAAATTTTTATAAATTGTATTTGATAGCTATTTAATCAGTTTACATTCGTTCTGCCGTACTGATAATTTAAAATTGCCTGGCAATGTAATCAAATATATAGTGATAGTTTTTATTACCTAACTGACAAACTCTCATGGATCATTTCCAGATTTCATGATCTTTTGATATCATCCCTCTTTTTCTTAATTTAAAAAAATAGATAAAAAAATATTTCATACAATGTATTTGAATACTAAACATTAAGGTGCCTAAATTATTGTTAATTTCATATTATATGTTAAGAAATAAGATGCAGTGAATCTATTAGCATAATGTTAAGATATGATAAACCTGAAATAATTCATCACGAAAGAATCAAAATATCAAAAGTGATGGAATAAGATTTGTTGCTCAATAATTATGGATTCATAAGGTCATGAATACATACCCATTTTATTCATCCTATCGTTACTAATTCATCACATTTTCATAAATGTCTTCCTAACTGCATCTTCATCGTACTGTAGCTACAATACTCAGTTCGAAAATACATCGCATTATAATAGTTTCACACATGCTTTCATATAAAACATACATATGTGTAGTGATATTTATAACTACTCGTCTTGATGTGATAACGGTAGTTGATAGCTACAACAAAATAATGATAACGGTAGTTCCGATTCGATGCATACTTATTGTGGGAGAACTTCCTTAGTGAAAGTTCTGTCAGAATAAATTAATGAAATCTTTTTTACGTAGGTTGAAAAGAGACGATAACTAAAGGAACATTTATTCTTTATAAAATAAACTCTAAGAATATCCAGATTAGAATTTAGAAATCATTAGGAAGTGCACAGTTGTTGTAAGTCGAAAGAAAGAAAATTTTAATGTTGGTAGTAATAATTTATCATAGAAATAGTTACACCTTTAAATTAATAATTGTTCATCCATAATCATAATGCTAATCAATACTGAATGCTTAATACTGACTTGCACTTACTTTACATAATGCACTTTATATAATAATTAATTTATATAATATTTTACTATAATGTATTTTCTACAATTTGCAATTGGAAATCTCACTATTTTCCTTAGTGTAATATATTTAGAAAATTTAAACTATTACAAATAAGCATCTTCACTAGATTGAATTAATTCCAAAAATATCGTAAGATGATGACTTATTATTTTATTTATAATCTTCGAAGCTAAATTTATGATTATTACCTTTATCCAAATACTTGTTTTCTTATTTCAACCATTTCTGAATATCATTTTCTTATTTCAGCCATTTAAACTATTTCTGAATATCATATGAAGATATATGTATGCTATAAAATTATTTTGAACATTCACTAGAGAAAAAAATTAAGATTTCGAGAATACAGCGAATAGAATTTCATTTGATAGTTATTTCTTCTTTTTCTGTTCCTGGTGAGAAGACTCAAATTATTTCACACGAAGTATTCGAAATCTCTCTTCGATCGAAGGCTTTAAAATATGACGGCCAGAAGACAGATTGAATTCATTCAATTTTTATCTTAATGACGATCAGTGCGGTTGATGCTGTAATGATGCTTTGTACCAATCGACTGAGATTTGGTGTTTTATGATTTTTTATGACTTCGTTATTATTTTCTTCTTCGATAATTAACTGACTTGTCAATCTTTGCTTCCGAATTCCAGTTTTATATTGATTTCCGTATTAACAATGATGTCACCATCCATTAAATATGTTCAATAAATCCACAGTTCGATGTAGCAATCGTTTCAAAAAAAAAAAATTTGAAGCTCATCTGTAAGATGCGTGTTTTGCGAATTTGGATAAATAGTTTTAAAGAGGTCAATAAATCGGAAGAATAAATATGTGTTACAGATACGCTTCGATGCACATGTAAGCAAGTAGGATTAACCAATCGTAAAACAACATGCTGAAATTCAAGCAAGGATCAAGGTACAACGCCGATTGAATGATCATAGAATTACAACAAAGGATCATAAGAAGCGTATTCGATTTAGAGTTCACCGCTAGAAAAGAAAGAATTCTCGAACTAGTTAAAAAGAATGGATCAGGAAGAGTGGCGTGAAAGTACAATAACATAGTGAACATACAGGTAAATAAAAAAAAAAAAGAAACAAAGGCAAACACCTGTCTCCAAAAGCACATTCAAATTGATTTTTCCATCAGAAGCATGCTCGTTGTCTTCTTTAACTGCCTGCGAATTGTCACAACTCAACAACGCCATTAGTGAAATTCGTCTACTTCGTCTACATGAATAAGGCAATCTTAAAGAAAATGGTGCAGCTTACACATACTTCCGGTCAGCTAAACTGAAAACCGAATATTTCCATTCAGAAATTGGCCTCGTATTAATCGCCTGCAAACTTGTTATCTTACCAGCAGATTATTCGATTGCATTATCTACCTAAGCCTTCCATTGCATAGCCCTTTTTCAAGCTAATCCAGCAGAAAAAACCAAATTTTACACCGACCACTTCCCTCACTCGAGAAGTTCCTGTAGGTGATACCAACAGCATAATCCTGAGTCAATGCCAGCGTAGAAAAGAATTCAGAAACCTGAAAAGGAGTACTAGGCAAACGCAGCAATGTCTGCTTGTGTTAGAAGAGCAACTCACTATCACAACCATTATCTTTCAACAGATGAAAAGGACCTGGACTATGTCAAAATACGTTCGCAACCAAAATACGTTACTTTGTGTAGAGAAAAAGAGAAACTACCAAGGTATCATTTTGCATTCAACAAAATTCTTGCTTGAAAACAAAGGAAACAGTTCTACTTGATAGCAAACGTAGTTTTTATAGTACTGATGGAAGTTCTTAGACAAATACGAGAAAAGTGTAAGCAGCAAAACAAAGGACTCCATGTGACATTTATTGGCTTATCAAGTACTTGACATCCAGAATAATTACGCTGTTGAATGAGGATCATCGTGGTTAGGTTAGATATGAAAATTCATTCCCGACAATCAACGGCATTTATTCACATTATTCATTATTCAACATAAAGGAGTAAAGGCAAGCCTCAGTGAAGAAGAAGGTATTTACATTCGATATTGTACCAACGGTAATCTGTTATTCAATCAATCTTAGCCAAACTCTCATCACTTGTCCGAAAATTGCTTTTTTCAGATGATCACCCCTCATTGCCTTCTGGATTGAACATCAGTTTGATAACCCTTTCACAGGTAGATTACCACCTCTCTGAAATTTCATCTAGGCTTACATCTTGAATACCAAAGGATGCCAAGGCCAGCAGAAAGATTGAAGAGTAGCAAAGGGCACAGAACACTCGAAAAACTTCATAAAAAATATGGAACAGTAAAGAAAAACCTAAGAATGTTTACAGAGCTATTGTTTATTCTATGTAAATCTGAATCATAAATACCTCAGTTTTACTCTGTAAGCAATTTCATTAACGTTATATTTGTTATGCATTTTTGAAAGACCACTTTAATTTTGTTTTCAAATATTCCTCAAATAAGCAAGTGTCACCAAATTAAAGCCATGCTATGACTATGTTGTGCAGGTCATGTCTTGAGGATGGGAGATTATTGCCTCCCTAAAACTTTACTTTCTGGCTAACTCGCTACGGGCCATTGCAATAGGTAGCCATAAAAAAGAGACACAAGAACCATCTGGAACAATTTCTTAGCTTAAACATTTTAACTACGATCAGTTCTTTAAATTGGAAATGTACCATCCATAACGTTGCTGTCATTTTTGACAACACATGCAGAACTTCTCGCATGAAAAAAAAAAAAAAAAAAAAAAACAACTTATTAAGAAATCATAAAAAACATAACTTATTTGGTACATTCCACATAACTTACCTATATCCCACACTGATTTTTTCAGCTGCCAATGTGTCTGTTGTAGGTCTCGTTAGATCACTTCGAAAATCTTCTTTCAAAGCTAATCTGTCACAATTGCGAATTTCTTTTTTAAAATCAAAATTCAAATCATGGAAATCTTGTGAGTAAAAAAAAAAGGAAAAAAAAATTGAAGCTACAAGCTATACAGTTAAATTGTAATTAATATGAAAGTAATTACAATCTTTGCAATAATGTCATTTCGATCATAACAATAATATGTGTTAAAAACTATCATATTTCTATCAATTTAACCAACCGTCATAATTTCGTAGGTTGCAATTCTCATTTCTAAGTAGGCTTAAGAAAAGTTTTTGAAAGAAGTAAGATATCCACTCGGTGATGCATCATCATAAAACACGAAATATTTTATGACAAAACATGTTATCAAACGATACTGGCTATTTCATTATTAATTCTAGAAATATCTATCTTTATTAAATATGACAACAAGTTAAGCTTGCTTTATAAATATAAATCTATGAAATTCAGAATTTTATTAAGAAAACCTTCTAATTAGTATATTCGTACTTAACTTCTATTACAGAATGTCAAATTTTTAATTCAGTTTTAATTTCTGTAATGTAACTTCTTTGAATTAATCTCTAGCGCATTAATTTTGTGGAAATGTTTTGTCAAAATAATCCATCTTTTTCCTATAATAATTTCTGAGATATTGGTTCTATTCTGTTTCGAAGTTGTTTCTGTTGAATTGGAATACTAAAGGTAGAAAAGATAAAACGAATTAATATAGAGATTATTGTAAATAACAATTAATGATTCTGTAAGTGTAAATCAAGATTAAAGTTTCATTCGAATTTTTATATTACTCATAGTGCAACTAACCAAATTTTCATCAAAAAGTTTTATTACTAAACATAATGGCAGTAAATTTATAAAAGGGAAAAGCAAAGAATAATGAAGCAAAATTTCTTAATCTTTTTACAACTTAAACATACGGCAATGAAATGAAAAGATATGGCAGTGGAAAAAAAAGTTGGCTGGCAGTTTAAAATAGGACAAATTACATTTTTTTAGAGCAATTTTATTGAAAAAACTATTCGAAAATTTATTTCTACAACGAAAAACTACAAATAATTTATATCGTCTTGCAAAATATGCATAAAATGGTTTGTTCAGGATGAAAATTTTAAATCATCTTTGAATTTCAACTATTTGAAAAATTTATCCATCGGTAAATTTGTGTGAAATGTAAAAGTGAGGAAGCATGATTGAAATAATGGAAGATGCTTCGCTAGTTGGACTGATGAATTAAATTATGATAAAAAAGTATAAAATTACAATGTCTTGGAAACAAAATAACTAGAATAAAACAAGACTGATAGTTGCCGCATAACTTTAAAAAAATTTTGCATTTTTAAATTTTGCATTCCGGTGGCAATAAGCAATTTATCTCCTCCTGTGCATCACCACTACACATGCACTCATCTTCGCCGATACAATGCCTAAAATGATCCGAAATCACAAAATTTTTTTAAACCAAAAGTTTTACTTTTCAACTCATAAAACACGAGAACTTCAAACTTCAAAATCAATGATGTAGATTACTTTTCTTTTATATACACAGAACTGTTATATATAAAATGTAAAACTGAAGCGTGAACATATGGAGTAAATTTACCTGGTTCGACGTTTGACGTGATGATAACATGTTTTTTCGCATGCCGACCATTGGTACCATTCAGCCCAATGACATCTAACTTCGATAAATATACCGGCTGGCATAGCGTAACCGGAAGGTGTAAGAAAGTAACCAGGAGCACTTCGGGGAAGAACGTAACCGGGAGCACTTGGTAGTGTAACGTAACCAGGAGCATATGATGCAACAACGTAATCTGGCGTGCCAGGCACAAAAACATATCCAGAAACTCCTGGTGCAGCAGGGTAACCAGATGTTGAAGGTGGAGGGAAGTAACCAGGAACACTTGGTGAAGGAACGTAACCGGCAGCAGTTGGCACAACAGTGTAATCTGGTGTATCAGGTGCTGAAACGTAACCAGAAGCACTTATTCCAGGAGTGTAACCTGATGTAATAGATGCAGGAATATAACCAGGTGTAATAGATGTAGGAGTATAACCAGGTGTAATAGATGTAGGAATATAACCAGAGAGACCAGGAGCAAGAACATAACCAGGTGGACAAGATCCATCTGTACTAGGTGCAACAGCAGTACTAGGTAAACCCGGTGTGTAGCCGGTTACCCGAACGCATACTGGTGGATAGGTAGGTGTTGCACAAGATATTTGCTCACTGCAAGTCTTATCCTCACGAGAATTACCGTAACATTGACCAGTGCAGCTGGAATCATCCTGTTCTGCAAAAGGAGATACAAAAATGATACATAATATAGTCGTAATATAGTTGGTCATAGTATTTTGATTACAGTAGGCATAGTAGGTATTCTGTGCGATCATTGATTGATAGCTTCGCTTGTAACATTTAAGAACGATGAATGCTTACCATAGCCAAGTCTTAAGCACATTTTTGTCCGTGAGCTACGTCCGGTACCGCACATATGGCTACACGGTGTCCAACTTGTCCAAGCAGTCCACTCACAGCATAATCGTTCCAGGCATACCGCAGTTTCCTACAAATTTCGAGTATGCTGTAGCAACAATAAATCAGAAAATAGAAGATACAAAAGTGAAAAGGATAAAAATACTAGTTACAAGAAAAAGATATTTCCATGTTTTTATCATGTAATAATTAATTAGCAAGCATAATTAATTATCATCACATATGCAATCATTTTTTTTTTGTTACAAAAAAAAGTACTCATGAATTCGACAGAATTTAATTTAATCCAAATTTCGTCTCTTCTTTATAAGGATAGTTAAAAAAATTTTTCTAATTATTAGTAAATGAATAGTTAAATTAATATTTTGAACAAAAAAAATTTCTACATTAATCGTTATCTAATAACCAATCGCTGCAAACATCTTGATTCACTAATTAATACCTAAAAGTGAAAAATTTCAAATACTTCAATTCTTTATCCAACATCTAAAAGTATAAAAACATATGCCTTCGGAATTTGTAATGATAATATAAAACAGTCTTTTGTTATTAATACTTCAAAATTATGAACTATAACTCAAAAAAGAAATAAAATCAAAATCTTACCGATTTTTGACCTTCACAACTATCAGTTGGTTCACCCGCCGAGGAACATTCTCGATATCGTACTCGTTCACCAATTCCACAATCGTGACTACATCTTGACCATGCTGTCCATTTTGTCCATTGTGGACAACTTATTCCAGTTTCACAATACTTTATATCCTAGAATTATCGTGTCTATATGCCTATCATTGACAACCTTATCACTATTTTTCATGTGAAAGAGTTCCTTTTATGGGAATGGATAAACTGAAAAAATATACCGAATTGTTAGATTCCTTTAATGGAATCAATTAGGCATAATTGGTATCAAAAACGATATCATAAAATAAACCTCAGTACTTCCCATACAATTGTCACCGATGCAGTTGCGATATCGCTGTTGTATTCCGCTATCACATGTTACCGAGCACTCGGACCATTCTTGCCATGTTGACCACATTGCGCATCGACCGGCATGACATGGCATTACTTCCATTCGCTTTCCTAATCAAGCATTTAACTTCATCGATAAGTTAGTTTAATTTTTAGTAGCTTAATTTATTTAAGATGTCACTGAAAATTTTAACTAAACATAACTAATGATATTCCTTTTGTATACAGTTTACTCGCACAGAAGTTATTTCCCTTTCCATTGATTGTTTTCAAAAAATTTATTGACTTACCAAAAAGATTTATTGACATCACGAAAAAAATTACTGATTTTCAGTTTACTACCATAATATAAGTAAGTAAGTTACCGGGACAGAAAATCCCATGACATAAACGCCTTCGCGTTGATATCCCGAAATTACACTTTGCTGAACATGTCGACCATTCACCCCATTCTTGCCACGTTGAGCACGCTTCCTCCACGCATATATTCTGCTCACTACTTTCACCTCAACAATTTCTCTTTTCTACCCATCACACTTAAATTTTACATATCAAAATTCAACTATGTGATAAGCGAATATTACGTTGAAAATAGACTCTTATTAATTTATTTTTCTGAAGAATTCATTCTTTAAATAGGCAATCTACTTGATAACTTTTGCTTATTCTTATGTATGTTCATATGAAATGATCTGGAATTAATTAAAAAGAAATTTCACCGATGCAATTACGCCCCATGCAAACACGTTCCCTAATGATGACCCCTTCTCCGCATGACACCGAACAAGCTGACCATTCTTGCCATTCAGACCAGCCCTCACATTGTTCTTGGTAACAGTGAGTTTCTTGGTAAGTGTCTCCTGTAAGCTAAGTTGTTCGAATCAATTCCTTCATTCATACATAACACTTATGGTAGCTTAGGTAATATCAAAGTGCGGTAAAACCAATTTCAAAAAGTTTTGATTGAAAACCCAAAAGAAAAAAGGTCATTTAAATGTTGTACCTTTTAAAAAGTTTAAATAAATAAAAAACAGTTAGTTAAAATGATAGAACTCTTTCAAGATTGCCAGAATCTGCTACGGATCTAGACGGCATAAAATTGTGTAACCGCCAAAAAATGGACATTTTACCGAGTGGTACATATTAAAAATTAATTTGCTTTCGAACCAATGCATTTATCGCCATTGCAAATACGTGTGCGCCTTTTGATACCAGTACCGCATGTTACTGAACAATATGACCATGACTCCCACTGACCCCATCCTGGGCATGGTGCCGTTTCACATGGTGTTACCTTTAAATGATAACGTCATCAAGTACGGAAGATTGCTTTGCAACGTGTTACGATGCTCATGTAAATTTAAATTCAAGTAAACATCATCAAGTAAATTTACATCATAGTAAGTAGGTGTATTATCTTTATACATGATAAGATATCAGAAATCGATGTGGTATATTCATAGCATAGTGCAATACCATATAGTATGATATGGTACTATAAGCTATGGTATAATACCAGGAGCTTATACCTCTTTTAAAATTTTTTTATCCAGATCGATATTATGCATTACTACGAGCGATATAATGTAAACTTTAAAAAAAAAAAAGATTGCTGAAAAACGATATAAAATAAGCCCTCGTCAAGAGTAGTATTTGTAGGACAAAAAAATTAGCTATTTAATGAAATATACTGTACTTCGTGATCGGAGCCGGTACAGTAATTCGCACCAAGATAACAGTAACGTGATCGTGTCTTCTCACCCATTCCACATGTTGCTAAAAGTAGTTAGTGATGTCACCTGATTTTTCCTTTTCTGCAAGAGAAGAAAGAATGATATTATTGACGAAGATGTATTTTAACGAGAGAGAACTTACCACTGCAACTACTCCATGACGTCCAGTCAGCCCAGCTTGCTACACATGGGACAGTTTGGTGACATGTACGCCACTCAACATTTTCACCCTTACATTGTCCTGTATTACAAATACGATATCGCTGTATCATACCAATTCCACATGTCGCAGAACAAAATGACCATTCTGACCAACTTGACCATACTATAAATTTAGTAATTTAATTGCACACTACAAATGTACATAAGTTATAGATCACTGGTAGGCTGTAAAGTACCGCTTATTGGTGCCTGAACATCAGCTGGTAATTGAGGTTGCGGACCATAAACTGGTACTTGGGGTTGCGAACCATAAACTGGTGCTTGGGGTTGCGGACCATAAACTGGTGCTTGGGGTTGCGGACCATAAACTGGTGCTTGGGGTTGCAGACCATAAACTGATGGTTGAGGTTGCGGACCATAAACTGGTAGTTGGGGTTGCGGACCATAAACTGGTGCTTGGGGTTGCGGTTGACTATAAGGTAGTGGTTGAAGTTTCGATTGGGTAGAAGTTGAACATGTTGTTGGACAACCATCTCTAACTCCAAGTTGTTGTTGAATCTAGAAATGAAATCATTCAGTTGATGAATATATGAAGATGTCAGATTTAACGTGATCATTCATTTAAATATTTTACTGCAAATTGAAAATGATAATACAGAGTAGTGAAGCCTAGTCAATATATTAATCAAAAAGAATGAACTAATTGTTGATATTTTCACCTTGTTGAGATATTGTTGAATTGAAAGATCAGTTCAAGCAATTTTACTAGAAAAAGTTTCCGATGTTAGCAATATCGTTCTATACGTGATGGCATTTGCAGTTGATTTATGTTTTATATAAAATTGTTATCTGTTCCTAATTCCTGTCTCAACCGTTCACATATACTTTTCTTCGATGAAACATAATATGCATCAAATATTCAAGCATAGACTGGAGAAAGAATTTATTTTGAAATTTTTATACATTGCACCTGCATTTTGTGACCATTGGCCAGATTTGTTTTTTGCCGAAAATAATCTTGCCAGTAGCAGCATGATTGTGCCATTTGTTTACTGTGTGCACTCATTATTCTCTTATATTCATCACTAAAACAAAATTCTGATGTGATCATTGTAAAGAATGAGTCATAATTCGGTACAGTATATGGAATAGAAAGTAAAACAATGATTCTTTATCGAAACAGGGAAAAGACACTTACGAACTGACATCAGGGTGCTGATATGGATACGGTGGATACGATATACTGATATCGATACTTGGAGCATAGCTAGTAATTTTAACACCGTAACCTAATGCATGATGAGAAGCGCTGCTGGAACATCGTCGGCGCTGAATGTTTCGGCCATATTCACAGAGTTGCGATCGAACTTGTCGTCCTAAAAAGAATATATAATAACTTTTTCATTTATTGTACCTTTACTATCTGTCTCACAGATATACAGATATATTTTTATTTCACGGCATATGTGGTTAATTCTTTGATAGATCATACTCTTCCATTCAGTAACCTGAAATTGAGAAAGCTTATAAATTAGATCAAAAGAAATCAAATTCCTTGACCATATATCAGTTATGGTATTTACCTGATCGTGTCGAACATTCAGACCATGCTGACCAGGGTCCAGTAGTTTCAATTGGCCTATCATAGCCAACATCTGAATAAGAAATACATCATCCACGATTAATATCCTTTACAATTATAAATAATTAATGGTCTAGGTGAGATGCACCAAATGATCGAATGATTCCATCCAACACGTAATGCCTTACGCATTAACATATTAAAGTAATTTAACCAAGTCACATGATTCCATCAGCATAAATTTTACCACGATATTCAGTTGATTTAACTGGTTACCTCGTTTCTTTTTTGACACTCCATCAGTAGAGGTCGTGAAATCAGTGAAGAGCGGTGGAAAAGGATCGAATTGATGGCAATCGGCTACAATTTCCAACGATCGTATCATATCTAACTTTTTCATCGGTTTTTCTGGTACCAAAGCAACCTGGAGCAAATGGACTTTTCAAGATATGTGTGATAAAAAATTCTACGACTATTTTGTCTCCATTTTTTGATTCAGATTTTATCAAACACTCGATTTCCATAACTTTTAGAAAGCAACAAATACGAAACATCAATAAATTTGATCAAAACAATATATTCAGCAATATCAATGTGTAAAATTTCGGAAATTAATCAATAATAAATGTTTTTTTTTTGTAAAAAATCTCTTTTCCAACGTCTTAAAAAATTTTTAATTGAATAATCAAATCACTATTTACCAATCATACAGAAATAAATGCGCTTACATCTTCATCAATGCTATTTTTGCTAAATAGATAACAGATATGATTTTTCTCCCGTTCATGTAGATAGTAAAACATTACTGAAAATTAGTTTATCAATCCAATTAAAAATTTAATACAATTAAAATACTATTAAAATTGCATGAAATCTGCAAATTCCTATGCTAAATAAAAATACGGATTGAAATTATCGCTAATTATACATTTAGAGAAACAAGAGTTTATTGTTTCAGTTAATGTTTTATTGCAAATTTATTGTGACTGGAATTTCTTTTTCACTTTGTTCCTTTTTCTGTAATCATGAAATATTACACATAAATTTGCACGCCAATAAGCTAATAATCTTATTTAATTTATCAGTTAGCATATTAATTAGTTTTTTAATCATAAATTTGATTTATTCAGAAAAAAAAAAAAAACTATCGCAGCCTAGTTGCTAGTTGTATTATTAATTGTTTATATCAATACTAAATTAAGAATTCCTAATTTAAATTAATTTCTTCAAATTTCGCACATACCTGCGACACATTTCGGATACAAATCAACACAGTTCCGGCGACATTCACTAGCTGAATAGAGCATAAGACGTGTAAACGGTTGAATGCCCATAAACGCCGTATTGTTGTGCATTCGAAGACAAAGTGATTCGATCTAAATAAGATAAAACAATGAAATATTAAATTAAAGAATCAAATAAATAAATGAGTGGTTTTCCGATTTCTGGTGCATTACGATGACTTTAAAAATCCGGAAAAAAAAAGTTGAGAAAAACATAAATTAAAAGTTAGCAAATTATATAAGTAAATATATTTACAGAGACTGTGAATATTTTTATAGAAATTCAATCAATTGTTTAAAATTTTAAATCTATAAATCCCTTTTACTTTGATTATTTATATAATTCACAAATAGATTCTTGCAGCATAAATTTTAAGCACATATCTTGAATACTTAATAAATTATTTCACACGTTTTCATTTTTGCTTTTATTACTTGCTACTATTTTTTCATCATTTACGAAGAAGTTTCGCTTGTGACAGTTTAACTGATCTCTCCTAGACTGCAATTCAACTGCTTATTACCAATTCCTATTCAAACTTTGAAACAGTTCCTTCAATCATCAGTCAATAGATGAAGAAATCTTCATCTATTGACTGATACTACCAATCTTCCATAAAGTAAATCTTTACAAAATTCTTTTATTCAAAACAACGAACTGTTCGAATTAAAGACATCATGGCAATACTATTTAATCTGTAAGTTAATATTTTCACATGCCATTATGTAGCATAACATCGCTTGTTTAGTTTGAAAAGTTAAACTTTCACACTCGTTTTTCTCTCTCTCCTCCTCTTATTTACAAAGTATGCCCAAAAATTCAAGATTTTTCATGTGTACACGTCACGTGTACATTGGTGCCAGATTGTTTAACTGGAGTCAAATAGCGTTTACTTCTATAGCATTGAGCACCGAAGTAAGATTGTCCACAGGTGTTTCATCAGTTTTTACCGCATTAGACACCTCAAATACAGTCATATTACCATCGTTAGTTGAATAATTCCCTGCTAATCCTGCAAAAACAAATGAAGAGAAAAAAACTGATAATTCTGACAATTTTTGTGTTAGCATTTGCTTTTTTTTCGAATTAAAAAATTCGCCTTGAAAAAATTTAACCAAATACTAAAATTTTTCAATGATTATATTTACAAAAAGAATCTCATCAAAGTTTATTAATATTATTTTAAAATATTGCATAATATAATTATTGACCTCCCAGAACAATTGCTATGAATAATTCCCCATTTTTCCTTGTAATATTTACCGTATCCTACACAGTTACCGTATTTCATTGTTGTCAATCTTGAAAATAGTGCAAAAAAAAAAAAAATTTTTTTTGCAAAAAATGATCAAAAAACATTTTTCTAATTAAATTTCACTACAATAGTAAAACATGATAGTGAAAGCTCTTTCCTTTATTTTGAAATCATACATCGTTAATCGGTCAGCTGTTTATTTCAAGGAAGAAATGAAAAGAAAAAGTGACGAATTTATGGCTATCACATTTTCAACAGTGTAATATAAATTTAAAATATTCCATTAAATTTTGTTTCATTTTTAAAAAATTATTCAATAGATGAGCGATACAACTAAATTATAACTATTTAGGATTAAAAAAAAGTGAATTTTTTTTTGAAGAAAAGAATAAATTTTAGAATTCAATAAATAATCCTGATAATATATAAATTCGATTTTTATAAATCTTGCAAATATCGAAATAAATTTTTACTGATTTTGCTTGTTTAAAATTTTTCTTCTCGGACGGAACTGTAGTTTTTGAAATTTAAATTATACTCCAAAAAAAAAATATATAAATCGGGGATTGCTAGAATTTATTACGGTTTATAGAAATTATAGAATCCTTCCATTAATTAAGCTTAATTGACTCTTAATGAACTTATTATGTAGTTGTTGCTCAAAGTTCTCTCATTTTATTAGTCATGCGACGATAGTTATTGTAAAGATAATGAACATGAGTTTATTTAAGATATTAATTAACTCGGCAAGATTGTAGTTTGATTTTTTTAAAGTTTAGTTTAAGCCTAGGCTATTAAGTATGTAAATAAATTAATCTTTCAATTGTAATCACCCAGGAAATCTGCACATCTGTCTTTTTGTTGTATTGCTTTTTTAATTTCAGCAAAATGCTTAGCTTCTTTTTTTCATGGATATTCAACAGCAGTTGTTTCAAACTTAATGTGCGATGAATTGGAACTAGCAGCGCTTAAAACTAGCCATTTCTAAGTGAAGTAAAAGAATTAAAATTTCTTTCAAATTCCTAAAAATATTTTTTCCCAATTTATTTCTTTTTTGTTCTGTTATCTATTTTATTCATTATTTAATTAATAAACATGACAACTCTAAATAACATTATTATTAATTCACAACGATCATGTCATTGTAAAAAAAAGTGTGCTCTATTTCATAATTTTTAGAAGAAATAGGTTTATCCTGCTTATCTCTATTAATTATTGGTTTAAATAATAGTTCCATTATGTAACAGATAACTAAATCCTGGCTCAAGTAAACCATGATTTTGAAATTTTATGTTTATAATATTCGGAGGGTATTTATTCCAAAATATTTCCGAAGTAATATATCAAACTTCTGGGATTGTTTTGCCTTTCTGATAAAATAGCGTAGTATCCATTTTAAAAGCCATAATTACCTCTAAAGAAAGTATTTGCTATAATTATTAGATCGTTGAATTAATCCTTTCAAATTTGCAAGCATACGGTATTTATAATTGACATAATAATTGGAATGATTATATTTATAACAAAAATGATAGTTGTAATGATAACAGTGATAGTAGCGAATATTTGCTTAAAGCAATAACAGTACTTAATAACAGTTGTACGGTTACCAATAAAGATATAAATGACAATGATAAAAATGATAATCAGAATAGGAAAAGGGGGAAGGGTGGTGAAGAAATGTTAAACAAGCGATAACCACTGATAAAACAACGAACCGTTGATGAAATAAGGAAGCAGTGAAGAAAGACTGAAGAATAGTACCAGAATCCGCAGCATCTTGCCATCGTACTTCTGCATCCTTACGTAGCTTTCCGAACGTTACGTCCGGTATGTTTGAAACTATCTTGTAAGCTCAGCTTGTACCTTTTATCATCCTTATTCATAAGTTAGCCTTTGAAAAAGAGAGCCATTTCTCGATGAAAACTCCGCCTCTGTCTGCTCTTCCGTTTGTTTAACTTTTTTTTTTATTTAGACACATCCATTAAATTACTAACCAAAATATAGAAGTGTTCAAAAGTGAAGGAATTTTAACAACAATCGGAGAAATTCCATGTTCTAATATTTGACTCCTTCTTCCAGTATGTTTTAACAAAATTATCCGTTTTTCTAAATGAATTATCCAATTTCAACAAATATTTTCACTTAGTCAGCATATTTCTTATTACCACTTAATAATGAGAAAATATTAATGAAAACATAAGTTTTATTCATAGAAATACAAGTCAGTGTAGAAATACTAGTAAGGTATAATACAGATTGAGTAAATTATAGATTTCACTTGAAGCATTGTTCTGGTTTCCTAATTTTTATCCGTCTTATAATGATTATCCGACTCTCCGCTTCTCCCGAGCATCAGCCATATCAATCTATTGAGATACTGCTGCTTCTGACGTAATTCTTTTATAATTCATGACAGAAATTGATCACTTCCGATGCATACCTTTCCCGTATAGCAAAAAATTGTCCAGTTTCTAAAGTGAATTATCGCATATTTTACTCATTTTTACCGCTACTAAAAAATGCTAATTTATCAGGGAAATTTTGTAAGGTTTTGTGCCTTTAATTCCTTTTACCAAATTCTTAATCGTTAAAATGTTCCAAAATACTCTTTATTCATACAAATTCATTAGAAATGTAAGAAATGACTAAAGACTACACCCCATATCGTGCTAACGACAAGTAACCGGAATTGTAATTTGATATGTAATTATATATGCCATTTTGACCATGGATACTATATAGTATCTTTAGATACATAGTACATTTCGTAAGATCCTGCAGGCACCTTCCAGATATTTAAAAACTCTGAGAACATCTATGTGACCGACCTTTTCTACCGAGAATGAGATTAGTTTAAAAGTAGGCAAGATGAGCGATTGCGAAATGTCCAAAAACAAAAAAGTTTTCTTCCACAAATCCCAGCAACATTGTTTTTATGATTCTCAACAGCAACCGTATCCCCAGAAATAAATCCCTAACAACTGTCGTTCTTTTTGCATGTGTTTCAGCGACTAGCACTACAGGGCAATTGCCCGGTACTTACCGAAAAAAAGAAAACTTTTCAGCTCAAGGTCGTTTCGTAATGCAAGCACAAGTTGCTTATCTTTTTAGATTTTTTATCTTAGGCAGTAACAGATATACTATTTGTAAATATCATCTCTATTCACTCATGGGCATTTCCAACTATGTCCGAAGAATATAGTAATTAAAATTTTGGAAAAGATGAACTGATACAGCCATCCTTCAGCAGAAAAAAACATGAAAGTATCTCTATCTCTCAGAAACATTGATAAAGATTCAAGCCCATATCTTCTTTCCCTTTACCGTGCTAAACGATAATGAATGTACACAATACGATATAAGCATACACGTTGAATATCACCTGGCTCATTTACCTTTTATTGCTGGTTGCCGTCTTAATGAATCCTTAAATGAGATGATAGGGTAATGCGCGAACCACGGTGATGTTCTTTCATTGTATTTGCCCACAGCAATGTGGAAGGGTAAGGAGATAGAGAAAAAAAATATAGACTGTATGTAAATCAATCATGTACGATGCAAAAAAGAACACGTTTTTACACAATTTCTATTTTCATTCATACTAAGCAATTTCAAAACCATACATTTTCAATATTTTTTTTTCACATTACTATGTGGCACTAATGAAAGAATAAGAGGAGAAAGTTTCCTGCATTCAAAACATATATATATGTATATATATCACCTCTATAAGCACCACCAACCAGAAACATAATCTCACTAGCTTACCGAACTACGATGTTATGCTGGCTTCGCTCATACCACATGGATAATAATTCACCGAAAATTAATTATGCTTCCGAAAAACCCTGAAACGAGAAAAACAAAGCAAAACCATTGTTCCATCAACTAACTCTGAATTAACAGACATAAATTTCAGGGATAATACATTAAAAATCATTATCCAACATTCATCCGGTTTTCAGCAGAAGGTCTCGATTGTAAGAAGTGTAATGGATACCTTGGCACTAAAAACCCCAACTTTACAACTTAATTATTTCATCACCAATATCTCTCACCCTTAAAACACTGCTCTCTATACTATTAAAAGACTAACGTAGCCGAGCACACCCATTTTAAACTTACCAGAACGAGGATTCTTTTCAACAGCATAGAAACTATTATCAAAAAATAACTGTCATTTATTAAATACCCATCATTCATAATTAACTGCTTAGTTTACTTGCTCAAAGCAATTCCACTATGTAGAGTGGTATTTCACTGTCAACTAGTCCACACATATACTTTCAAAATTAAAGGCAGTTTCACTGTTTCGGAATATTATAGAAAAAATTTTAATGAAAAGAAATAAAATATACGTTATTAACACAGAGCAAGCCAATAATAAGCTGAAAGTCAAATGGCTACATGAATGTAAAACAAAAATTTGAATACAGTGATTTGAAATATCTTAATACCTTTGCTAGAGTAGAAATTTGTACCGAGGCTAGAAAAAAAAAAAAAAAAAAAACAGTAAAAAATTGACATACCACTAAAAAATATTTATAAACTGAAATTTACCAAATGAACGGAAGAAGTTCTAATTCTTTCCTGAAATACTATTTATCGAATAAAAATTTTAATAAATACAACACGGGTATTTCGAAAAATATAAGTCTTTGGTTGCCAATTAAAATAACTTAAATTAGATAATCAAACAAGCATTATAAGATAATAAAAATTTTCAACAAATACGATTCTGATAACAGCAATTTTCTGAAGAAAAATTCAATTATACCTATCAGAAAAGTGGAAAATATGATTTCCAAATCATGAAGAAAATATGCAAGAATGAAAAGCCACTTTACATTAATCATGCAAAAGCTATTTTTTTTTAAAAAAGAAAAAACTAAAACTTACTTCATAATATCCATTGTAATGTACACTTCTTATTTACATTGCATCCTTCATCATCGCTTCCTTCGCTGTATATTACCACTCATTAATCAAAAACTTCCTTTTCAATTTAAATTACTTGCTAATGAAGAAAGAATCTTAATATATTCATGAAAGAACAAGACAACTAAGAAGCACTTCTAATAATAAATACATAATGGAACATTAGAAAATATTTTACGTTATTTTTTAATGATTACGTTACTTGAACAAACTCATGAAAGTCCAAAGATTGGACAAAAATTCAAAGCTTTGCTTACATGCAACTTAATATAAGCAGAAAAATAACAGAAACCTCTTAACTGCTTCGTTATGACGTAAAGAGAGTTGGGATACGTTAGACATACCAAGTCCGTCACACTTCTTTTTAATCACCGAATAGTAGTAACGATGAGGAAACGAACACTGAAATTTAATTCAAAAAAAGTGAATTTTGGCACCAGTTCTGCAATAAATCATCAAATAGATAGCACAAAATTAGTGACTGTAGAAAACCCTAACTTTTAAACAATGCGAAATACTGAATCATATCAAAAAGAAAAAAAATAAAGGGATAGTAAATGAATAATCAACTTTTCTCCAAAAAACTTTTTAAATAAAGTGTCAGTGCAAACTCAAGCCCTTACAGACCTCACATCAATCATTTTCTTTCCCACCAACCCATATCTCGTTTAGTTCTTGCATAGTGTTATGGCTCAGAAAGAAGATTAGACATCTTTCAAAGAATGCATGTGAATTCAACCGACGGAATTGACAAATTAACTTGCATTCTCAATGTGAAGTTTGCGTCATCGCCATACAGGTCCACAATTCAAGAAAAACTTTCCAGTGTCATAAAATGTTTGCAACTTCATAAATTGAAAATAAAACTTCAAGGATTTAAAGAAGAAATAGAATTTGTAAGATTCAAACTGAATCAATTCTTTAAATAACGATAGTGTACAGTTCCTATATTGCAAGATGATAAATTTAAATAACATACGCCTGAGCTTTTTTTACAAATTCCTCGATTGAAATCTTCACATGGTTTACTGCCAACTGCATGCTTAACATGCAAATATTGACAATGTTCATTGGAACAAGTAAGGCGCAAAAAATAATCACAAATTGGCATCTGATGTGAAGAAAGGCAATGAGCCTGCTTACAGTGACCTCGACACAAACCCAACATTAATCTGAAATTAATACGATGCTTATCTTACTCTTCATCAAAACAAATAAATTAAAATCTCTAAGTATAATTATCTAAATTAAAGAAAAAAGAAACCCTACTTGCTACAAATCTTCGTCATTCTGTGGGTTGAGTCACCGTCATGATCAAACGGACAAAAGACATCAGCTAGGCAATGACGATGTTCCGCGAATTCAAAACATTCGTGAGATGTCTCCGTATACAGCTTATCTTTAAAAATTACAGTTAAAAATATTAATACTAAACTAGTAATAGAAAAAAAAATCTGGTTTAAAGAAAATGTAGACTAATTTATATTTCACATTAAAATGGAATGATGTTAAGAATATTTTTGTTTTCACCTCTAATCCTACGAAGTCGACGGTTTATCCTTTGTCCATTAAACGCAATATTATGCACCGAAGCAGTCTGCTAAAACAGGCTTTCATGAATATATGAACTGTACAAATATATGAACTAAAATAATAGATGACTACAAGAACTAAATAACAAAAACTATTCGAAGTGTTTTTTTTTTTTCATAATCCTTATATATCTTTATTTATTTTTTATCTTAATACATGCATTTTATAATGTACATCTTTAACAAGAAAAAAACCTTACAGGCACTTCATCCTCAACTTCCAAACCTTCATTTGTTAATCGTCTTCTCCACGACATACCGTTCTTTGACATTGTCCCATTGGAAAATATACGTTTCACTGGTTTTGCTGTCTTTGGTACTACAGGTAACGCATTCGAATGAGCAGAAACTACAGGACTAGCTAAAACAAAACAACTTAACCGAAAATCACCTTATTAAGTATACATACAGAGAAGTACAATCCATAAAAGGTAACAAACAGTTCACAAACATACAGGAAACTTCATTACTGATGACGAGATTTGAAGTCAGAATCTTCTGCGTAGGATAAGCAACTTTGCGCACAATTTTGGTAGCAGTACGAATAACAGCTGGAGCCTGATCTACGGGTAATGAACGTTTCAAAGACGCAAACTTCAACAGTGGATCAGGACTGTTGCGATGAGAATCCTGAAAAGGAATATGGATTATTTACAACATTTGAGTGCTGTTAATTCAAATAGTCTCCATTAGTGAAACAAAAATTTCTCATCCAGTACTTGCAAACTATTGAAACAAAGACCAACGAACCACTGAGAAAAGGAAAATGAAAAAAAAAAAAAAAAAAAATCCAAGCACCATATCACAAACTGGTATAATTTTATGCATTACTTATAGAACTATATAAAAAATTGCATTCTTGTAATAAGGCAGTTTTTAAAAACTGAGTACTTTTTCAGTTTGAGATTCATTGTAATCGCTGCTATCATAATTTATATCGTCACTTCGCACTTTCAACGGGAATGTACGTCCTTCTGAAGATTGTGGGCGACCACAGTTCTCCGGAAATTTAAATACCTTCCCTTTGAATTGCGATCGTGTGGTAAGGCAGTTTTCATTCACAATTGCTTCTTTTTCAAGTTCTGAATTTCACTAGGCATAATCAATCAGATAGCTATGATCCAAAGAATCAGTAGTATTTATTTTGCTCGTTCCCTTATCCCATCCTTTCCCTTCTAAAAACATACAGTACAAATGTGAACTGGAAAAATGTAATTAACCAGCAGAAAACTTCGTGTTCTGTTCAATCAAACCATCTGACTGAATTTGAATTGCCTGTAATGCAGTAATGAAAAAAGTCGATTTGTAAATAAAAATATCATTCCATTTTCTCTGCACTTTTTGTCAGAATTCTACAATCAACTATTCACATTTTCACTGAGCATTTTTTTAGCATTAAAAGAGGTTAAAAAAAAAAAAAAAAAAAACGATGCATTTATACAATTCATCTTAAATCACTTATCAATATCACTAGTTTCCTAACAGCTGTAGAAAGCAAAGATACACACTAGATTTATAATTTGGTATAAGAAATGTTGAGGCGAAAAGCTCCTTAGTTCTCATAAAAAAGAAATCTAACCTGTTGAACATTCTGAAGGATACCTTTTTCAGCACGCTGAATATCATTCTCTGTAAATAACTGTCATGCAATGAAGATTTAGAAATCGATTTTTTTTTTTTCTAATACATATATCATGTCCATTTCAGCTAATTTAAGTTTCTAAAAAAAAAAAAAAAAACTGCCTATAAACCTGTGTTAAAGCTGGTGATCTGCAACGTCTCAGCGATTTGTTTTACTGGCATACCAAACTAAAAATATGACGATTAAAAGAAATTTTCTGCACAAGAAGTTATATAATTCCTATGGAAATTATAAGATGCTTTACCACACAAACGATATTTAGCTTAGATCGAACAGTGAACAAGCAGCATATTGGAAAATTTTACCTCAGGTGGTGGTGGCGGTGAATCAATTAAACGAACATAAGTTCGCGGTTCGGAATGTGTTTGTGTTATTCGGTTAATGAAATTATTGCGCAACACACCCACATTAGATGCGTGTAATGGTTCACAGTATTGAACTGTAAATTAATAAAGAATTAAAGCAAAGTGCTTCAATCTGGTATTCATACATGTATAAAGACACAACACAGGAGTAAACGAACAGCATACTTTTCGTTCGCTAACAAAGCTTTGTTTCAAATGAGCAAAAAAGTACTTAATTTCCTGCTTCTTTACTTAAACTAAGAGACGTAAATATGAGTATAGGTTATGAAATGATAAGAATATCACGTCAAATAAGTTAAGGAAATCAAGTAAATTATGGAATTACTATGGAACGAAAGTTATTTATGCTAATAATATATGATGCTCAATATAAAAAAGTACAAATCTGAAGGTACACATCATAAAGTAAACTAACTTTCACTCATTGCAGTAGTTACTGGCTCGTAAAATTGTTGTGTACCCCGCCAGTAAGAACCTACAAAAGCTATTAAAATCTATTTTTGTCGATTCGACAAAATGGGATGATGCGATGCAACAACCAGCACCGGATATTGATAGCATATTGATTATCCAATCCACTAGTGACTCCACACTTCGGAAACTTTTTGACTACTAACAAGTAGAACCGTTTTCTATCTACTTTTCCAAATACCATCCTTCGCTATATCGATAGTGATGTATTTCCTTGCAGTTAGGAGATCGATTATATAACAATTTAACAAAGCCAAGATAAATCAATCAAATAATGACTTTTAAAAATCGAACGAACTAAACCAGTAACCGCATTTGTCCAAAATAAATTAAATAATGTATATACAAAAATTGGAAAAGACAACCGACTCTACTAAGGCAATGAAATATATACTTCCGTGTAAGCATTATGAATGAAACCACCTGTTATAAGTGTATTATTATTTGTTGTTAGCTGCAACGGCGGAGGTTCAGGTAGAATTGAAAACGTTGATAATGGCAGCGGTGGTGGTGGCGGTAATGGTGGAGGTGGTGGCGGTGGAGGCGGTGGCAATGATAGTGCATCACATCCAACTGTAATCTATAATCCACTGATACGTGATAAGATTAACATCTGCGAAAGAATAAGGAAATCAGGTAACATTTGTTAGTAAGCGATTATGAATATACAAATCTTGAAGATACTAGAAATCATCTTTATAAAAGTTATCAAATCTTATTCGGAAGAAAATCATATTTTCCAGAAATGATCTGGAGGAGGAAAATAGCCAAAAACATGAATTAATAAGCAGGATCTATTTATATTTTGGTAAGCAGTATTAACTGGAATAATTTCAGTGAAATTCTTTTTACTCAATTTACTACCCATTTTTAAAAATTTTAAAAAATATGAAATCCAGTATGAGATTTACTTTCAAGGGTAATATTGCTTCATGTTGTGTCACATCCACCAATCCAATTCGTCCATGGCGAAATTCATGATGATATGACATAAAACTGCAAGCACTGCAATTAAAGTATTTTCTTAATTCCAAAAATTGCAAATTAGAATCATCACAGTGGGTGAAGGAAAGTAGACGACATATTTTGTTGGTTACTGAAAAATACTGATTGCATTTATCTGTATAGCCATACAATCCCCATCACCTTTCAAAGATATCAGCAGTAAGATTTTATCTTTTGTTAATTTCTACAACGTCAAAATAAATTACATGCCTAAGATAACCTGACCCACGTGACCCCATCAACGAACACTTCTTGGGTTCAATCCAAAATAACATCACCGACCGCAGTCCAAGTAGTAATCCAATGCAACATGATCCAACCAAACCATCAGTTCATGAATTTCGTGATCTACTTCTTGACTCTACTCTGCATGGTTGAATCTTTTTGATCTCTGGGAATACTTTGTTTTGAAATCGTATTAGTTGTCACCGCTTTTTTTTGTTATTCTCTTTGTTTATAAATTATTCTACCATTACGCAGTATAATTGCAGGCAGTTTCTCACTTTTTTATCTAACAACGTCGACACACATTTGTTTCTTTTCACTTTTCATTTCATATATAATCGGTGAAATTTTCAACTTTCCTTAATGTGATATAATGCTTCTCAGTTTGTTAACTTTTGATGTCCTTACTAAATATAAGTGGCCAATATGCTTTTTAGTACAAATTTTTCCATTCACAATACTTTTGAAATTCATTTCAAATTTCGTTATGAATTTTTATACTAAAATTTTTCAGTTAGCCAAAATTGGATTACTGAACATCACTTTATTATCTCCAGCATCTTTCTAAATCAAATTCGTGTTCTTCTAATCCCAAATCAATTTCTGATATGTCCATAGATGTATAGGATGAACGTTTCAGATGAATACAAGCAACAGTGGCAGCAGCGGCAGCAATGCATTTTTCAGAGGTGAAGGATGCAGCAAATATGTGATACCAGGTGATCGGCTCTTTCCTATTAGTGAACAGTTGAAAGCAGGTATCGGTACCTACGAATTGTTCGGACATATTTATGCATCACTAGCTGGTACCTTGCATATGTATACAACTGTCGAGGTAAGTTTTTCTATCTCATGTAAATTATAAATTATGTTATAGATTATTCATCTTCAGAATTAAATGGTAATTATCACTTTCACTGATAAGAATGGAAAAAAGGATAACACACTGCTTGTATTATTTGACAGGTTTAAATGTATTTCTCGAAATTATAGACGGTTTAGCTATCTTCGAAAATCTTAAATCTTGTAGAGTGTCTTTACTTTTCATTTTGCAGAATTTATGTGGGGACAGATGGAAGGGTTTCTTTTGGGGAAAAAAAAAAAAAAAAAGTTTCAGTTTGAGAGAAACTCGACACTTGGAGACATGTGGGGAACGCAAATGCTCTCATTTGTTATTACCTGTTTTTTTTTTTTTAAAGTTGGGAGTTTGGAAGATGTTGAATAGAACAGGAATTGAAGTACTAATACTTTTATTCCTGCAGTCTAATTTATAGCGTGACAAAGAAACAAAAATAGTGGAAGTGCGACGAGAATCGGAAAAAGAGAAACGACATGTCATGCCATACGTGGGGTGTATTGTAACTGCAAAGGTTTATTTTGCTTAATGCTCATCTCTACGTGGTTGCCGAAAAAGCTAGAAAACCTAAAACTGAAAAAATGGAACAAAAGAAATTTAAAAATTTACAATTCTAAGTGAACATAAAACCTGCCTTAATGTATTATCGGATTGAACATTTTCTATATCAAGCTTTTTTTCTTATAACTTTTTTTTCTATTATTTTTCAAGGTACTAAGCTCTTTAAAGTGTTGATAAAGAACGCTATATAGACAAATTTAGCATACTAAGCTTTTGTTTTTGATTTGAATATAGGTCAGATTGATGTAGTTAGCTTATTTTAGGTGCAAAATATTGGTCAGAGGTTTGCCAAGTGTACGATACACTGCGTGGAGTGTTCTGTTTTATCTCACGAATTTAATGGAGTATTGAGGAAAGAAGATATAATGCCTATCGAGAAAGAAAAAGTGATTTTTTTCAGCTGAATTAAATTATTGAACTTTATGTATATATGTCAATGATAGATATACTATTGCTTTCATTTTTGGATGAACTTATGTATATTTTGTTGTTTTCACACTTTCAGAAACTTCCAAATAACCTAGGAAAAGATTGTTGCATACAGGTTAGTTACAACTTTAAATAATGAGCGGATTAAACTGAATAGCGATTACTATTAGGAAGAAACAAAACTATCTGCTGTAGTAATCTCGATGATTCCTTAAATAGGACCTAATATATTTTTGCAGGTAAAACTAGAGCAATGTATACATCCCGGTGATGTCATCCTGGCACGTGTTATTGGCTTCGGTGATAATCAGCATTCATATTTACTCAGTACCGTAGAAGATGAATTGGGTGTTGTGAGCGGTATTGGTGATTTGGGTGAACGATTGATACCATGTTCTTTTGGTGAAATAAAATCAGTTATATCAGGTACACGTGAACCTCGAAAAGTTGCACATATACCTGATCTGAATCATTGATTTTTTGGATTTCTATAATTTGTTTTGTGTTTACTGTTATTCATGTTTATTTTGTTGATTTTAGAACGAATTTTTAATTTAAACTCATGTTTTCATGTATGAAAAGAACCCAAAGTTTCTCAGAAAGAAATTTGAGATTTAAAGCCTAAGGGAAATATTGGAGATATCTACTTATTTGAAAAAAAAAAAAAAAAAAAAGAAGGTAGATCCTACTTTATAATGAATTTTATGTTGTAGTATTCATTTAGGATTTTGACGGTCGATATTGTGAGCCTTTTGCCGGGTAACTTATGCTGTTATGTTGGGTATTTTTCTCATTGCTAAAGATCCTCATGTACAACTCATGTCTTAGATTTATGTTTTCATTAAATATTCAATTACTAATGCATTCTTCGTTATGCGTGATGTGAAATGTGGAACATGATGTTCGAATGTTGATTAAAGTTAACATGTTACTAAATGGAATGGTTTTATGAGCTTAATCGTGGAATGATTTATGAGCTTAATCGTTACTGTGCACGAAAGTCTAAAACGTTGTCTTCACATTCGCAAGAGACAGGATGCAACGTTTTAATTATTCTTCTATTTTCCTTAATAAAAAAATTGCTTTAATAATTAGCCTTTCCGTAACTGAAGTCCAAGATTTATCACTTACCTAACTGAAGTTATTCAATTTGATCACTTACTTTAATTTTATATATTTCCTTTCACAGATTAATATTTAGTCGAAATGTATCCAATCGCACTGTTGAACAAATGACAGCGCTTCCACATGAGTAATTTAAAATAAGACTATTATTGTTTCTCCACACCAATCTCTGTATTTTACGGCTGGAGTGATTATAAGGATGGAGATAATCACGGAAACAATTAGGGTCACTAAAAGACATTACGACTTCATCTCTAAATTTCATAGTTTTCTCGTGTGTCATCTAAATAATAAATGATTGTCCATAAATATGATCAGAATTGATTTCGTTGTATTATTATCAGTCCGAATTAGCATGAAAACAGAATTAGTCGCAAGGATATAGTTATTTTATGACGGATAGCGGAGTAATTTAAAATGTATCATTTCAGGCTTGTAATGTTTAGTCGATCATTTACACCTAATTTATTATTTCTGATAGGGCAGAGGAATGCTATTACAAGAAAATTGTTCGCAGTTACTTTCGGTCCTTATTATCGTGTAACAGCCAAAGGGTATCAAGCTAATTCAACGACTGTCAAAGATATATATAGCAAACTTACGTCCCATTCATCATCCGACCAATGGCGTGTAAGTACTTTTGTTTTGTAAGAAGAGATTCCCGTGGCAGGAGAACTCCGGTAAGAATGTTATACAGCTACGTTATTTCATAACTCTGAAATTTAGAAACTATATTGTTCCATCTTTATCAGTTAGCTTAATACATTTATTAGGGGAATACGACTATATGTAAAAATCCGAAAGAGATTCACATTTCTTCCGATTGAAGTACTGATTATTTTTAACAATTTGGCTCTAATGCCTTCTGCTTTACAGATTTACATTATTTTACAGGATGCTGGAGAACAGCTAGTCGAAAAGTATTTTGCATCATCGATGTTACACCGACGTTCTATTTTGGTTGAACTTTCGCAGAATTTTGGTGTAGATCATGCAATACTTAAACGATCCATTGAACTCTACCATAAAGTTTGCAATTCATTCTCATTAATTCAGCATTAGAATAAAATACATCAAGGAAAATTTATGGTCAAATGACTGTAAGCTAAAAGATAAATGGTATGTATTAGTGGGATACGGATTCTGAAATATTTAGTAAAAATCAATATGCAGGTATGTTGCTATGAGAATATACATTTCTGGAACATAAATATTTCTTTTTTTTTTTCTTTTAAATTAATTAAGATTCATCCATTTTCAGAATGAACAAGCATTTATGAATGTTGCTTCAGCATCACGTCCACATTATTTTCGACTTTTCCAATCTATTGGCAACATAACAGGCGGTGTGGAAAGGATATGTTTGATGCGTGCTGATCTTTTGGTATGTACAGTCATTACACTTTTCAATACAAAAATTTTGTTAAATTTATTTCTTTGTACAGGTAGAAATTAGATCACTAATAAAAGAAAGTTATCTTTATCATAAGGACAATATGATATGAATTAGAATTGGAATCTTTGTTTAGAGATTATTTCACTTTTGAATTTCAGGGAATGCTCTGTTCTTCGGATTTGACGCGAACTGATAGTGCAGCGTTACGACCGGTCGAAAATTGTTTTCGTGAATTACTGACGCTTTGGTTTTGTCAAAGTAATTTGCGTTTGCAACAACTGACGATTGAATCACCGGGTGACATTCTTGATAAAGTTAGTCTAATTACATTTTTAACTTTTTTATTTTCAGGATTTAAGAGAAATTTCTGTCATACTATTATTGACGAGTGGTTA